ACACATGTATAGCGATTTATTATATGTACATATATATTAAAAGCAATATTATTATTATAGCATATTTTTATTAGAAATATTATTACATACATTTATATTGAAATTAAACAATAAATATATACTTATATGACTCATATATTTTATACATATGTATACGAATAATAAAATTTTGAATTTTTATTTTTATTCTCGTTATAATGAATTCAATTGGTATATTCTCTTGATATAACGAATTTCGATGTAACGAACTTTCGATATAACGAATTTTTTTCTCGGTCCCTTGAAATTCGTTATATCTCGAGTTGACTGATTATATAAAATCACTATAATACGATAATGATATTATTATAATAATATGAGTTTTGAATTAAACTATTCAAAATTTGAACATACTACGTACGTATTCTACATTTTTTTTTTGTGCTTCGACCATTTCAGTAAATAAATCATTATACATACCAGATACATTTAAAAAAAAATCAAAACAGCAATAACTATTTAATATGAAAGTAATATAAAAAAAAAAAAAAAATATGAATCGAAGATTTCATGTCCAGGATAACCAGACACTGACATATTTTATTCCGAAAAATTTAAGTAAATGGTCTCAGAATATTAATAGTACTAATATGATATACACGATTACAACTAGTTATCCATTTCTTAATGAAATTAATGATGTACTGTTTAAATCAGAAATTGATTAATGAAATAAAAATGGCATAGCTATGGCTTGAAAGGTAAAAAATTACAATTTATATTAAATAACTTCATAATATTAAATTTAAAAATGTTAACTAATTTTTTTACCGGGAAATGTATTTCAAGTATTAGATGATGTTTTGAAATAATATATCCTACAATTAATTCTTTGCTTAATATACTTGCTGGTTTGCCAATAAGCACGGCTTCGGCAGAACGTAGTTTTTCTACTTTACGCAGATTAGAGAATTAGAATTTACTATAAAATCCATTTTTCAATTTGCCACATTTATGATGTAGCTTATTTTTAATTTTTTTTATGTATATTTTAACAATTTTACTTCCTATAACTTTTCTGCCCATGTTATAACCATATGTTCATATTATGCTTTCCTGTTTTTAATATTTTGCTTATTGCTTTTTTTTTTCAGATTAAAAACGTGGATGAGGTCACGCATAGGTGAGGAAAGATTAATTGGTTTAGCTTTACTCAATACACATAGGGACATACATATTGATGTGGACAAAATTAATCGATTTGCGGCTGATAAAAAAAGTACCATACAATTGTTACTCTAATTAATTATAAGAACATTAAATTTACTAATAAAATATAATACAATATTTTTTTAATATCGAATATAAAGGAGTTGGATAATAATATTGATAAATTTTTTGTGTTTTTAGAACAGATATCTATTGATATCAATGATAATGTAGATATTGAAATATTTATTTTTAGGCTTTTTCTAGACAGTTTAAGTAATTCAAAAATTAATTAATCAAATAATTTATAAATATATACGGAACAATTTTAATGATCAAATTATTGAAAACTAATTTTTGAATCCATACATGTCGATTTGTAAAAGACTAGTGAACTAAAGATGTGTCCAGTTGTCTAGAACTTCCTAAAATTATTCAAAAATGTTTTGGACGTGAAAAATATTATAAATGTATAGTATATCAAAACAAATTTGGACCTTCACTCCTCAAAAAATTTATTTTCAGTTACGTCATTGTTAGTACCTATGAATCTATGATACCAATTCGCCCCCTGCTTCAATAAGCTACAGATCCGCTACTGCTTTCCCAATCAAAGTAAATTGAACAAAATATTCGACAATTTTAAGTTTTCAATATTTTAAAATGGTAATGGAGTTGGCTCGCGGAAATGTTTTTGTTGAAGTATTGTTCCAACGGTATACCGTCAAGTAATAGTCAACGGTGAAAAACCAATGATCGATAAAATTTTAAGAAAAATGAAAACGAACTCTGATAATTTCACTAAGCAATTTTAATGTTCAACGAATCGTTTTTTATACTTTTGTCGTAATTTATGAGTTTGTTTTGTATCATGTTATTATATATTTATTATAAATCTCGTTTTATTATTATTATTATGTACCACCGTCGTTCGATTTTATGATAATATTATAAACATGTGCCGAGTGCCGAGTGGAACATCTTATGCATATATATTAACACTCGGACGATATATTTTCTTCTTTTTCAAGTGTACTCGGAAATAATATTTACACGCACACACACATAATCATGTAAAGTTTTTAATGCCATTACGGTTGGTTTAATGAAATAATGTGAAAAATTGTTTTTAGACACGACACATATATTTATATTCATATATGTAGAATCGGGTAGAAGTGGTTATGTGTGTGTGTGTGTGTGTGTTTTGTGAATTGTAAGGGCGGGCGCGAGGAGCGCGGTGTATAACAGCAGGCGTCGGCGGTCGAGAGTTCCGAGAATAGATGCTGAAGGTCTCCTGAGCGTGCGTAGGAGTTCCGAGAACAGCATACACTTGCCTCGCACACACATTCTAATACATACATATATTTGTACACACAAATACACACACTCGCGCGCGCACGCGCACCGAGTAAGCCGCTCGCTCACATGCACGATCGCTCCATTTCGTACGAAGCATTGGAGCGTTAGCGATATGCGCGTTCTCCGCATGCACAAAGAATGGATAACAATGCGGTTGCGACACGCCTCCAGCAGTGCACGAACGCACATGCATTATAATTGAATATTGTAATATAATAAATAATAATAACAATAATAGATGATGATGATAATAATGACTGTAATCAATAACTTATTCGGATTTCGGATGTTGCTACCGACGGATACCACGCGCTGAATAATGTACCATAACGAAATCCTCGCGGTATCGCGCAAACGGACACCGGTGAGATCGAAGGCGGCTTCGTCCCTCCAAATGTAGTCGCTAATGTCTGGGTTCCGCCATCGCTCTTTTTGGCCGCAATACATGCAGTTGGTACTGTATTTATTAGTTGTAATTTATTATAATATTTATCACGTTCCAAGAGTCCGTCACAGGCATGCTGATTTTCTTAGTCCCGCACTCGAACGACTAGACCGTCCCCCGCATCCGCTTGCCTGATCCGATAACGCCCATCACACATTTTTCGGTACGAGATTCCTTGCGGTCTACGCGCGCCCCGAACACCGATCACCGGTCACGGTCTTCGTTTGTCGCTTTCGCCGTCGCCGCCGCTTGGACAGCTGCAATCGTCTGTCGCATTCGACGGGTGCGTGAGCGTGAGCGAGAAGCGATGTTGGGCGGCCGACGGCGGATACCACCACCGATATAAGCGGTTCACCCGTGTCACACATACGCACGTACCCATACACGCAACAAACGCACAAACGTACGTACGCATATACATACACACACCGCAACGGTAGTGCCACTAACTATATAGTGCCCGCAGTATTGGACCGTCACGCGATCTGTTACGGTCTCTGTTAGCACGGATTGCGCGTCATCGTCTTATGTCGCGCGTGTTTTCGTTTCAAATCGCGGGAACGTCGCTATCGTTTTTACGCGAATTCTATTATTTTCTCGACTCGTTCTTAATTATGAATTTTACTATTTTCGAATTTTTTAGTATTCGCATACGAATTATTAATCCGGCGTAATAATAACACATCATGCGATAAGTTTATTAATAACAATTGTTGTTCCATTGTTTTACGTAATTTCATCTCAGAGTTTCAAAAACTGCACTCGTCGTTTTCACGGAATACAATTGCTTTCATTCAGGTATTAAGATTAGGTTGAAAAAGATTTATAATTTTGTTGGCAGTAATTTGTGTTGTTATTGGTTGTATTTATTTTATTATAGCATGCATTTATAAAATATAACATTATATAATTACGATATTATTTACAACTTTTTGTAATCCAATGGATATATATATATATATATCCGTCGGACTTGTCACGGGGAGATTGTAAATAATTTAAACTTATTATTATCACAGTGAAATATCATTTTGAAACTGTACACGTGAGTGTAGAAACCAATATTTTTTGATTGTTAATAATTGTTGATTGCTGATAAATTACTTATTTCCATGCTTTGATTACCATAAATTAAGACAACCGTACATTTCAATAAAAAACTGTCCAAAATAATTAGAACGATACACATCGATTAGGTCAATTGAAAATTCCTTAAATTTTTTTTAATTGATCTAATTTAAAAACAATAAATTCTATATTGCAATAATAATTTAAGATATGCGTTAAATGGCCGTGAAATTCTTTAAGTATCAGTTTATAACAATTTAAATACCCTGACTAACGTAAATTACGTTATTTATCTAATTATTTTTTTTTCTTTGAATTTTTTAGAACTTTTTTCAAGTTGTTCATTTCAATAAACATATTAGGAAATGTGTTTTCAGTAAAAAATTATAATAGATAATGCTTTTCAAGTAGTGTATAGTTACTGGAAAGTGCAAAGAAACCCACCAACGTCATAAAATACACCGATTCCGAGTAATATTCATATTTGCTATAAATCTCAGGTCTTTAGGCTACTAAAAATATAACATTCGCAATGCTCGACTTGGAAAAATTAAAGAAGGGGACTCTATTTACTTTAAAAAAAAGAGCGTCCCCAAAACTTGTTAAGCTTTATAATTATAACATAATAATAGTAGGGAGACCCTAAAATTTCTGAAAATTAATTGGGGTACTCTGTCCCCTTGCGTCCCCCCACAAGTCGAGCATTGAACATTCGAATGTTAGTCAATCGAGAAAAAAGCTTTGTATTATTTAATTATCACGAAACATTATCATATTATTCCAACCATTGTTGTATCACAACTCTTGAACTATTCAAGCATAATTTATAACTAAGCTATTACACTTTATTGAACAATGCTTCAAATATATTGTGGTTTGGCAATATTGAAAAATTAATGAAAAACACGTATTTAAAAGGGATTTGAATCTTCTGAGAAGGCGTAAGCCCCCAAAGTCCCCTAATATCCACCTATGTTAACGAGTTAATATTTTCTAGCTTTTATTAATCAGCGCTAACTGTAGGGAAGGATAAAAGGGACAGCTGCCCAGGGCCCCATCATTTTAGAGGCTTCACGCCTTTCAAAGAATTTAATGATTTTTAAGTCTTTAATTTTTTTTTTTTTAAATTAAATAACAAGTTTTCCCTGTAATGTGAAAATGTGTATGGTGTTTTATACTCTTCAATATTTTGTTTAGTACTTATGTTGTAACATTGGTATGGTGACAGTATTATTTGTTAAATGTAAAAATGTATTTTTGGTACCTATTCATCCTTAAAAATTGATAATGACTCTCTATTTATATTTAATAGATCATCTTAATTTTTAAAAGCAAATAATAAATGGACAACTGATACCTGACCTTGTATACTATACTTAATAATAGTTTATAGCATAAAAAAAATACAGGAATATTGTGTAACAAATATTGGGATTAGGGGTACCCACCATCTCTTCAATATTTGACACGGGTAATTGACTGTTTTGGATCTATATTCACCACGCCTCTGTATTGTTGTGTAGTGTAATAATAATGAATAAATAAACAATAATATATAATATATTCTTGACTCTTTGATAATAAAATATAATATCCATACAAGGGAAAAATGTTTTTACATAAGTTATGTAAGATAGTTAAATATAAAAGTACTAGGGATTCGACTAGGACGTTCAAAATAATTTTTTTTTGGCATCACAATTAAAAGACTAGGGCCCTGTGAAAAAATTTGTCTCGAACCTCGCAAAACCTATCGCCGTTCTTTCATATATTATTTGTACTAGATACTATCCATGGATTGTTTGTGTAAAAAATGAATCAGTTTTATAAATCAGAAAATATTGCTAATATTGTTCTATAATTTTAAAATGTCTACAAATGCCTTCAAGTGCTCAGCTACTGCTGTCCCCGGGAATAACATTTGTGGAACTTATTTTCAATACATTTTTTTATTATCCTAAGAGTAGTGAACAATTTTTTTTTTTATATTAATGAATGATATACACAATTAATAATATGTAATAAATTATATTTATTGATTATTTACAATTTTTCTTGGTTGAATAGCAATACAATTATCTATAATGTCTTTATATTTAATTTGTTATTTTTGTTTCAATATTTATTATTGCAAGTGTGTTTTTGATCTCTTTTTAGATATTGTGAACCTTAAATAAGTTTTTATACATTGTACATTTAAAAATTATCGTTAGAGGTACAGTTTGAACAGGGAGTACATAAAAACATGTGTAAAGCAATATTCACATACAAGCAAATGTCTTCTAGTTCTTTTATTTTTAACATAGTATTTCTAACGATTATAGTTAATAGAGAATTTTTTATACTTTGGTCATAGCTTTGAAAATGAACACATTTATTAATGAATGTTGCATTTAAATTTCTTATATACATTGAGCACAAATCTTCAGCTGAAACACAGACTTTTGATGGTTTCATCTTTGTAAGTTTAAAAAAAAAAATAATACTTTTTTATAACCATCAGGACCTGCGCTAGCAAATATTGATAAGGGGGGGAGGGATCATAAATATATAAATTTTCTGACTACTTTCTAAAATACAATCCTACATTACTAATATTACTTAATTGGTTGACCGTGCTGTAAATTATTTGAATAAAAGTATTTGAATACTTTTTTAAGTATTGAATATTTTTTAAATATTTTCAGAATTAAGTATTTTCAATGGTATTTTAAATACTTGTTTTTCTATTTATTACTTATTTGTATTGAATACATGGTTTTTTTTTCGAACGTTTTATTTTCATTCAAAATATTTGGTTGGAAAAGTATTGCCAACTATAATCAAAGCCCGTAGGTTTGTGTAAAACCGGTTTCTAAAAATAGATATTCAATAACAAAATTTCCTTTTGTATTTTTAGATAGGTAACTGTTAATATCAGATACAATATCTGTCTAGTTATACGGGATTACGAGAACAACATAGATTTTCGCACAAATCACTATATATGCAGCTGCAAGTCTACACCGTTTTTATTTATTAATACAATTTACTAACCTACTGGCAACTACAATTACTTCAAGTTTTATTATGAGTAATTCTAGCCATAATACTGATGATAAAAGTGATTCAGAACCGCATAATACAACTCTTTCAACTATTTCTCAGCAAAATGTTAGGTTACCTTAGCCTAATTACTCCAAATATTTTTTTACAAAATAATTTAAAACTATTCCAAAGACTTTTTTAAAGTATTTGAGTAGTATTTGAAATACTATACAATTCAAATATTTGAGTAGTATCTTAAATACTTGAAAAAAAAAATGTATTTGAGTATTTATTAAATACTTTTTAAAAGTTTTCTTTACAGCTCTGTTGGTTGATGATTGCCGACTATATAAATATGCCATTCATATTGGGAGAGGGGGGTATTAATAGTGACAGTTACAAAAACTTAGACCTGCAAGTATAGGTATATGAAAATATGTGTTCTGCTTTGAGTTTACCAGTTCTGTCAGTTAACGACATCAAAACTAAAATCAATACAATTTATACAAATTATAAAAGTGTGCATAACAAAATTTTCAATTATCTATTGGGAAAATGATACATATGTATTTACGGGAAAGTATATACAGTAATAAATATATAAGTACTATTTATTGGGAATGTATAGTTAAATTATTTAAATTATTCATTCACAATTCATCATCGTGTAAACGATTTGCTTAAATGAAACAGTCATAATGAACATTTTAATTGACAAGTCTGAACCTACCTTTAGTTGTTCATTATGATGTTTTGACCTTATTTTTTTACGTTTGTAAATCATTTCATAACGATTTTCAGAACATTTTTTCATTGCAATTCTTTATGTTGAAACAATATAATCAGGTTGGAGAGTTATAACATATTTCATCAATGCTTCATATTGATCACACATTGTACATACATCAATATTGACTGATTATAGATATTTATAAACCATATTGAACCGTTGTAAATCCCCTCAAAATAGTGACATAAATGTAACTTCAAAACGATTCATTTATGCGGGCTATGCGGCTATACTACGTCTCAGTTTTATCTACTTGTAAAAATAAATCAACTAATATTTAAAAATTAGGTATTTACTTAGTTACACGGATATAACTTAAATAAAATATAACAGAAAACAGCATAAGCTACAGCAATGTTATTTGGAAATGAAAAAAATAAATAAAACTATTGTAGAACACCATCCACTTTGTGTAAAAAATTAATTGATTTTAAAGTTAATTATTTACTTTAAATTATGTTTCGATTGATATACTTGTATACAAGTATAATAAAAATTAAATTAAAATCTTTTGAAAATCATACTATTTATTGATAATGGTAATAGATAAATTGCGGTTTAAATAAATGGCAAGTCTTTAAGATTATTTGAATTTTATAAAATAAATTTGATTTTGTCGAAATAAACGTGTTCCGTAAACATTGCTGGATTCTTTTTATAATTTTCATCCGTTTTTTTTCGTTTATTTAAGAAACAGCTGTTACCCATTTGCGCAAAAAAAAAAATGGATTCGTTTTGGGTACAGCCCATTTGCGCCAAAATAAAAAAAGTATGTTTTTTCAGACAGCCCATTTGCGTCAAATTTATCTGGTATAATTATAATAAAGTGTTATATTTTTTTCTCAAATAATAATTAATTAAATATTCATGTTTAACATTTTTAGAAGATGTATACGCCAAAATATATTTATGG